GGTAGGGTGCTTGCCTAGCACGTGCCCGGCTATAGGTTCAATTCCCAGGATCGACCGAAAAAGAAAAAAAAATATTTGCCACTATTATAAAAATGGTTTGTTATAAAAATCATATTAAAACTGTCTTAATGTCAAAAAACAAAACCCAAGGTATCCTCTTAGATCAGATTCCCAGAAGCAGAGTTACTTGGTTAGTGGACCTGCACATGTTATGGCTTTGATGTCTGTAAACAATCTGCGACTTGGAACAGTTTAAACTTTCCCTTCTGTGGATTTATGAGGCTGTTTTTTTACACCCCCTGCCCCACTTTTAAAAGTTGAGACTAAATTCCCATAAAATCTTCCATTTCAAAGTGTACGATTTAGTGATTTTTGTTTATATTCATAACATTTTACTATAATTATCAGTCTCTAATTATAGAATGTTTTCATTCATCACTACAAAAAGAAATTCCATACCTATTCTCCTTCCTTCAACCCCTGGCAACTGTTGCTTTAATTAACATGTCCATCATGTGGGTTGTTTCTACCTTGGGGCCATTATATAGAAGCCTGCTACGAACATAGTTTTCAATTCTTGATGTTATGAAGAAAAGATGGGACAGGTTTTTCCTCAAGTGAATGAGCAAAGTTTGAAAATAAGATGATGAAAAAATTTGCCTGGGAGAGCTCACTGAGGCCAGAATCCATAAGCAGGGAAAGAGAGAGAAAAAAAGGCCGTTGGAGGTGAGGTGCCTAGAAAGGAAACCCAGGCTCTTTCATCCCTGAGTCCCACAGTGAGCTCTCACACACTGCCTAAGCAAGGCAAAGCAGAATTCCTACAAGCTTTTTGAAGTTGGGGATGACCTAGTTTGATGCACGATGTGGACAATTGCGGGACTGTAACTAGAATACTTATTTTAGAATGCATTTCTCCAGGCTTTTCTCAGTTACTGTTTCTGTTTCAAGTTTTTGTTTTTATGGGAGTTTATAAATAGCACACCTTTTGTTTAGAAACCTGACTTACTGGCCTTGATTAGCATCGCGTGTTCAAAGTTTGCCAGGCAGGTCTCTCGCCGCAGCCCCGCCCCGTGCGGGCTCTCAGTGCAACCTAAGAGCTGAGTTCCTCTCCGGAGCGCCAGGGGCCTCATGCTAGGAACACAGTCCGGCAGGGCCCCTGCTGTGGGCAAGGCCTCCCACTCCAGGTGGTCCTGCCGGACTTTCTCCAGCCTGTGCCATGTAGACTTTAAATTTTGTTTCTTTTTTCTTTCATTGCTTTTATTGAGTGTGCTGATATTGTCACATATAATTTAGTACATGAAGAGTACAAGAAAATGAGATAGGATCGTGACCAAAGAGGAAAAGAGCCGAGATCAGGGATTTGCCCCTGCAGCTGTCATCGACAAGTTCTGGCTGGTTCCTTTGGGGAACAGACTTTCTCTTGTACAAGGGACAGACATTCTGTGGCAGACAGGAGCACCCATATGTTTGGAAGCATGAGAAGGGTACTGGATAGCAGAGGGGATGGACTCCGGAGGACATTGTCTTTGCTCTCCTAGACAACCCCAGCTCAGCAGGCAGAGATCGCTTCCCCCACCTCACATTACAGCATCCAGAGGCCAAACGCTCGTGTTCCCAGGGTCCTTTACAGCTAGGCAGGTGCACGTGAGCCAGACAGTGCCAAGGCCAAGCATCTGTCCCCGACTCTGAGTGGAATTCAGAGATGCCGAGTGGCTGAGATTATGTGGGCTTGTTACAGTGAGGGGGCAGCTGCAGGGCGGCCCCAGTGGCATTGGCAGGTCACTCTGTGCTCTGGGCTCAGGGGCAACGGCAGTGTGGTCCTCAGAGACAGCTCTGAGGGGGGATCTGACATTGTTCCTGACCATACTACTCTAGGGGAACCATGATTGCTATAGAGCACCCCCATTTTGTTGGGGAGGTGGGAGCAGGAAGGGGAGAGGCAGTTCCTCCGCTGTTCACAATTGTCTGCCTGGCATTAAATGAGGGGATACAATTAAAGTCTCCACACTGTGAGACTTATTTTCAGCATGTTTCTACTATCACATCGTGGACTTGTTATTGAGTGGTTCATGGGCAGTTCTGAGACTACAGGAAGTGCGGATTCATGTCTCAAAGCCTTCTGGTTGGGGTAAGAGTCTGTTCAGGCAAAGAAACAAATGTCTACTGCTAGCAGGGTATTTTGTTATAGCAGTCTGATAGACAGACAACTGCATATTCACTCCTAGAGAGGTTATTTTAATGGTTACAGAAATCATTTGAATGGATTAAAATATAAACAGGAAGGCTAGCAAGTCACCTACTGGGGCTGAGGTGCTTACTACCAGGAAGTGCCTGCAGCAAGTTTCAGGTTCAGACACAACTGTCCGAGACTCTGAGGACTGGTTACTCACGTCCCTAACGTTAGAATTTAGGCCCCAGAAAAATCTCACATCTTCCCCTCACCTAGCTCTTGTTTGTGGCACCCCCAACCTCACCCCTTGCCCAACCTAGAGACTGGCCCTTCCCTGGCTTCTCCCTCTAGGCACCTGGGCCCAGCCATCTCGTCTTCCTGTTGGGCATGTCTGGGCTGCTGTATCCTAACAAGCGTCATGTGGCTCTTCCTGCAGTATGGACAACTCTGTTGGAAAGTCAGGTCAGCTTTAGGGGGAATCTCTGACCTCGAGTTCTCATTGCCCAGAGGAGGAATCTGGACACTCTGGGATTAAGCAGACAAGGGTCTGAGAGAGCTGAAGGGTGAAGACTGACCTGTGGACCTGTGTACGCTGGACATAGAGTTTCTGGAAAAGAGTGTAAGCTGGCATCCTGAGTCTCTTCTTACCCAAACAATTCCCACACATGATGGAGAGATGCCGAACCTGCCAGACACTGTCCCTGCTAACTTCAGGGTGGCAGGTCTTGCTGCAATGACACAACTGCAGCTGTTTCTGTGTGCAGGGTACTTCCTCATAAATGGCCCCTTCAGTAGATCTGAACATGCAGGGGAGGCTAATTTTGCCCTAACAACCATTTTCCCTTCTTCAGTAAAACTCAATTTTGGGTGTGTTACGTGTCATCCAGAATAAAGACATCTCCTAACCTTTCTTGCACCTAGCTGTCCCCATATGATTAAGTTTTGGGTAACTGTATGTAAATCAGAGTAGTATATGTAACTTTGAGGAAGTATCCTTAAAGGGAAAGGAAAAAGGCAATCCCCAACACACACATACACCTTTTTTCCTGGCCAGAATGTGGACATGATGGCTGTAGCTGGAGTAGCCATTTTGAACCATGAGATGGAAGCTACATTTAAGGATAGTAGAGCAGAATTTTATACTTAAAAATGAGATGCTGCAAATAACATCTAACATGTGGCAATGGCTTAGTGGAACTGGTAGGCCAGTAAATGACAGACACGTTAGTTTTTATATAGTAGCAAAACATTTGATTGAATTGTTTTCTTCAGTAGCTTGGAAGATTGACCACATGCCAACTGAGTGCACAGGAGTTAAGGAAAGAGTGACAGGGTGCAAAAAGTGTGAATGCTGCTCCTTGCTGCTTTTCACAAGGCCCTAGACGAGTGTGGTAAACAGAGGCTAGAGCCAGCCAGATGGCAAGCAGAGATGGGAACTGAGGTTTGCAGACTCTAGTTAATTTAAGACTTGATATGTTCAAATGCCAACTGGCTTCCAAATTGCAGCTACTAAGAACCTTGAAGTGGGAGACACTGAGGCCAGGGCGAGCAGCAAAACTTCACTGCCACACATGTGAGCCAGGTAGTTCCATGGGCTAGGTGGAGGGTGCCACCTGCCCACCCAAGCTTCTGTCAGGAGAGCTTAGGGAAGCCACCTCAAGGGGAGGAGGTTTGATCAGAGCACAGAACGCAAGTCTAGGTGAGTCTGCATTCATGGAATTCTACTGGAAAACACTCTTCCAGAAGCACAAAAGCATCCTAGTGGACCTCCCAAAACTGGCCTAAAAGCAGGCAGGCTACACAAACCGTGCTGTCCCCAAGACCACCCTCTGCAGTCTCATCGTGGATGTGGCCATGTCGGGACCACGTGTCCCTTCCAGAAGGCAAGGCTGATTGTCAGGAGCTCTGCGGGGACAGGCTGTACCACCAGGGCACCGTCATGGCTCCTGTGAGCAGTGTGGGGCAGGGGCTCTGGGCTTCCTCTCCGCTCTCGCACGGGTGAGCTTCCCCTGGCTGTTTCGTGTTTCTACCTTACTACTGCTCATGGGTTATGTGGGGGGAAGATAACTTGCCTTTTAGTTTTGAAGTCATTGGACCCAGAGAAAATGAGGAAGAATGCAAATCACCACAAAGTGGGTTTTAGCTTCATGCTGTAAGGGGGGGGGTTGTTCCTCTTGGGGAGTGGAGTGGGCTCCATGTGGGAAAAGGGCAGCTGCAGGGCTGAGCCGTGACAGAGTCTCTTAACTGTCCCTCAAACTCATTCTTTCGTTTCTCAGAAACAGATCCCTGAAGTTTGGTTAAGCACATGGTTTCTTGGAATAAAAATGATTCCGTCACAGCAGGTTTGGCCCTGTTATTAAGTCTTGGGCAACAGGATGTACAGCATCTAAATGATGTCCTCTAAGGGAAGGGGTCTTGTTTCTCTCTCCCCGTTCCTCCATTCTGCCGACTGGCATGTGACCACGGCTCGCAGCCACCTTGGACCTCGAGGCAGAAGGTGTACTCTGGGTGGCAGAGTTGGACAGAGCCTGGGGCCCTGCTGACCATGGAGCCACCTTGGCAACCTGCACAATGGAGGGTACACTTGTACTTAGTGTAAGCTATGGCTGTCATGACAGTGGAACCAAATTCTGATCTAGAATTTGCCATCCAGGGGAAAGGCAGAGGCATGTGTGGAAGGCTGTGCTCCTAAGAGGGAAAGTGAGATGGGTAGAACACTCTCCTCCAAATGAGGTGATGCTCAGGAAAACTAACAACAACAAAAACAAACAAAATAAGGAAACATTTATAAAAATCTGACATTCATAGGAATAATGTCAACAGACAATAATAGTGTTGCATAGCTTGTTTTTATATTGTTTTTCAGTAGTCACCGACAGAACAGCTCAGAATGAAAAACATTCCAAATTTACAGAGAAAAATATTGCTGATCAAATAAGATACTTTTCAAAACAACATGGCTTAACACAATCCTTTGGTTGCTCCAAACAGTGCATGAGCTCTTAAGATGGTGGGCTCAGCCTGGCATCTGATGGGTTTGGTTTCCCAGGCTGAGGTCACAGAGGCATTGCCACCTTTACTGACACCACTCTCAGCCTGGATGACAGGAAAAAAATCAGAGGGTGGCAATCCTTGTTCTGCCATTCAACAGTGCCAAGGTCTGAGGGACAACCTTGCAGGGGAAAGTCATAGAAACATGATACATCTCTCTCTGGCAGCTGTGCAGATGTGACGAAGGGTTAATTTTGCTTCTCCGGTGTATCAGACCCCCAGAATGGCAGATTCTGAGCTTACCTCCTCCAGCCTAATCATCCTCTTTTACATAAAAGGAAACCTAGAGCAATATATCTTGCTAAGTCCAGATCCTGCTTCTTCCCTGTTGATGCTGCCTCTGGTGGATGAAGAGGCTTCTTGCTGTCCTAAATAATAATCTTTGACGGACGAAAACAGGCCAACCAGCAAGAGAGCAGCAACAGCATCTACGCTAATCTCAAAGTATATTTAAATATGAATTACTGTGGCAGGAAACTAAAGACAGGTACCAGCCTGGGATTCAACTGCCCCATCTCCTCAGCCCAACCAAATTGAGCTCAATCTTTTTCTTTTCAAAGTCGAAACAGGAAGTGCAGGTTCTAGAGAGTGACACCAGTAGGGCCTTTTCATCCTGATTAAGTCTGCACATCAGTGTGTCTAATTAGTAATCTTCCAAAAGCACCAGAATGTAGAATGTAAATGTCTTCTCCAGTCACATCCAGCCAAATTTCCCAGGTAAAATATTTACCCAGATTCTGATATGGTTCTTCACTTTGGATGAAAAAAGGGCTTAAGAATAATTGCAGACATTCATAAGGTGGTTATGGATTTTTACTGGTAATATATACAGTATTTACTTGTATGTTTTGCTCCTTTAGATAATTTTCTTGTTTTGTTCTTCCCAGGATTTCATAGATTTTGTTCCTGGCAACATCTGCAGGGTCTGAATTGTTGGTCTGCACAGTAGCAGAAAAGGCTAGCTGACTCTTAGGCAAGCCATTTAGAAATTTATGTAACCATAATGACAGCATTTTTGCAGCCACATTAAACAATTTGTTTAAAAATAATAAAACACCATCTTCAAACACATTTAGACTACTCAAGCTTTTACACATGGGGTGGTGTACATTTTTATTCAGTGGCTAAATTTGCTAAATATCCTGATGGCATTTGAATTTAAATACTTTCTCCTCTTCCTCCTTTTTGGTGCTGTGCTGAGAGCATTTTTTCCCTGGGTCCAGACTGAACAAAGGTGCTGATATGACAGTCTTCGCACTTCTGCTCTGCCCCTCTAGAAGAACATTTTTCTCTCATAAAACCCTACCAGATTCCACTTTGGTTTGATGTGTTTTGGGGCTAATCACTGAGAATTTAGCTTTTCCAAATAACTCATCCAATAGCAGTGTCAGTACACTCCAGCTGATGAAAATCCACATTCATAGCATGATCTTACTCAGTCTTCATGTTCATCCTGAACACTAGGTATTGTTTGTCTTATTTTATAGATAGGGGAAATTGAGGCAGTGGAGGCATAGCTCCTAGGTGCCTTCAATGAGAGCTAGTTAGTGCTGAGTAGGAGCAGGAACCCAATCTCCCAGGCCCCAGCTCTAGACTTTTCCATTATTTTCTTGCCACACAGCATAGGGTTCCACACTGGGCACTGCCTCCTTCTACCTAGGCCATTTAGCAGTAAAATATACACAGGGAAAAGATAGGAAGTGCGCAAGTAAGTATGCTGGGTCCGTAGATAAAGAACCTTTAGAAACCTAGCCCTGTCTGGAAGTCCATATCCCTCTTGTAACCAGGAAATGATTCAGTTGGTCCAGAGTTTCCTAATATTAAAATGGCTTCATCTATGTGGGCTATAATATGAAAGCATTCTATAAATAACAAACTGGCTTAGATTCCTTTTCTGGATACACAAAAACTGCTATTTAAAAATACCACATTAAAATGTTTATGTAATTTATTTTCCTTAAATAATACTTTGCTACAATCCTGTCACAAATTTTTAAAAAATTTAACACAGTATTCACAAAGGCAGAATTCTTTAGGACAATCGCAATCCTGGGTACTTAGAATAAATTAACTTCGAATTGTGTTTCTATTCAGACAGTTTGATCCTCTCCTCTGAAATGAAATGGAGACCATTGTAACTGAGGGTGAATACACACATTTGTTCTTCTGTACAGAGACTCTTTCTTTATATAAACTCAACAGTAATTTGAATCAAGTTAGGAATCCTGAGAAACACTCACCCATGGAGGGGGCACACACACACATACGCACACACACAGGGAACCCTTGAAAAGCAGGGTTTCCCATGGTCACTTACTAGCAGGCCTTTTTTCAGAAGGGCCAAAGATTCTGAATGCTATCATCCCTTCCCACTCAGGAAAATCCTCCCACTTTGAGTGTGACAGCATGAAGTGAAGTAGCAGCAATCCATGTAGTAGATTCAGTAGTCAGGGATCTGGTCCTGGAGTCTGAGTGTACAGTAAGAGGCAAGCGGAGGCAAGGACACACCTGCTTCTGAAGCTAAGATGGGGGATCATGTGGACAGTCCCGGCTGGAGGTTGCCTGGGCCAACATTGTTTTCGGGGTCGGCAGGGTGTGAATGGAGAGGCAGTGCTGGGGAGTGGGCTGCTCTAGATGCAGTGTCAGGAACAGGGGCAGGGAAGTGACATGGGAGAAGGGGTGGGCAGCGGAGGCACTGCTCATCCTTCAGCCGGATTCCTGGTGCCCTGTGTTGGTATAGTGGTGGTGGGTGACTGAGCTGCTCTGCTCTGCTTGAGAGCACGGGACGCTCAGCTCTCAGCATCCCACACACAATACAATACCTGAGCAACTTACACAGCCACACCACCTGGCTACTGGGAGGTACGAAGCACTGGAGGAGTCCCTCCCAGGTGCCCAAGGGCAGCCGACGAGACCATGACGTGTAGGGAGGAAGGCAGTGGGACAGGTCCCACATAAGATCCCCTTGTGCTGCTTTCTCTGGGCTTAAAGGAAGCCATAGTTGCATGCGTATCTACACCAGTCCCTATGTACATGATACTTTTTCTATAGAAACTTAAAGTGCCTGGGTTCAAATATGCTCATTCCCTTCCCACAGCTCCTGGTTCCTCCTGCGGCCTCCAAAGGAAGGCATGTCCCCCTCTCTTCAGAAGGGTGCCCGTGGGGACAAGGAATGAATGCTTCACAGTTGTCCTAACTGGGATCCAGCATCTGGACTAAGCCTTCTTCATACACACGAAGAATTGCTTCACACACAAACTTGTACTGGCTCTGGAAAAGGAGAGACAGCTGTCAAGTCCGGGGCTCCAGGAACACTGTCACATGTGTACACGAGTCTTCCCATTACTTCTAGGCATTTCCCGAGTGCCACCTCTAGGCCCTGTGCCAGGGAAGAGTAGAGGCCACACACCTATGAACCTGTCTGTGGCCTCCTAACTCCTACTCAGGGTGGGCTGCCCCAGATGGGCATGGACAGATGGTCATGGAAATGGGATGGGGGAGAGTGGCTGTCTGGGGAAGATGGGGAAGGAGCAAAGGTCTCCTGCAGTATGGCTCCTCATGTAAGGAGAAGTATGGAAGCCTTGACGAGGATGGTGCATTCTGAGAAGAGCAGGCAGGGAGGGTCCCACGGTCCTGTCCTGGAACACCCGGGCCTGCGTGTATGGGTGAAGAAATGGGCCGGGATCTGGCTGTGGGGCACCTCGCAGAGGGGCAAGAAGTCTGGGTCCTGTCTTAACAAGGGAGCCACTGAAAGATGCTCTGCAGGACACAGTTATTTACACAGTCATTTCTCAGGAGCCAGGGGCAACTGGCTCAAGGACCACCTGCAGAAAACCAAATCCACAGATGCTCATATCTTTTACACATCCTCTTGTGTGTTTGAAATCATTCCCAGACACTCATAATACCAATATGATGTAAATAGCTGTAATACTGTTTAAGGAATAATGATGTGGAAACAGTTTGAACACGTTCTGTACAGGCATGAGTTTTTCTAATACACTGGTACCTCGGTTTAAGAACTTCATTTGTGTTACGATTTTTGGGAAGACGACTGTCTTTGTTTGTGTGGGGAAGATGGCCGGGGTCTTTGTCACTCAATGTGGAGTTTGCAAATGGGAGCAAAATTTTGCCAAATGCTTTAAAAAAATATTTTTTTGTGCTAAGTGCTTTTGTTTGTAAAGTGAATTGTTCATGAACCAAGGCATTACTGTATTTTTAAAAATCTGTGATTAGTTGAGTCCTTGGGTGTGGAACCCACAGATAAGGAGGGCTGACTATATTATTTACACCCAAGAAACATATTTTACAGATGTGAACAAAGGAAAAACAAGAGCATTTAGATGAAATTTCTCCGTCTGGGAAAAATCTGCCAAGGTGATGGACTCTTTCTTTCTAACCAGGAATAAAGTCTTCATACCATAAAACAGGGAAGAGAACGTTCTTATATTTTTTTTTGTCTTGTTCTGGTTATGAACTAATATAAAACTACAAGGATGCTTAGTCTAGTAGGGAGATCTTATAAACTTTGTACACAAGCCTGTGAGGATGCAGAGCTGGCTGGAACCCTGAGTTCCTGTTCCCTTCTTTGCTAACTCCTTCTCACCACCTCTAGGAATTGTGCCCTGGAGGTCATGCCTCCAGAAAACCTTCCTCAACTTTCCAAAGCCTGCTTTAGATGCTTGCAGTGTGTTCTCAGACGTTCCTCAATTTCCCCCACTGCTGCTGAGATTTGTAACAAACTAATGCAGTTCTCCTACTAGATACACACTTGGGTCTCTTCTACTTGCACAATTATCTGGTGAAGGAATGAAAAGAATGAATGTGGGATAGTCTCCACTTTGCAGATGGGGAAACCAAGGCTTGGAGACAGGTTAAGAGACTATCCAAAAGTCACTCAATACATGGAAGAGCCTGAATCATACTCTTTCTGCCCCACATTGAAGCGCTTGAAATTCTGGGGAAAACCCCAGAGATGTCCCCTTGAGGATACTTGCAGTGTCAGGCACAAAGCAGGTGGGGGAGAGCCCAGAGGAGGAGGAGGGAAGCACTGGGGTGAAAGTCTCGTGACCCTGCTTTTCTCCGACGGACAAATGATGGGCCACTGGCTCAACAATGCACAATCAGCAGAGGGGTTCTCTGGTGGGGAGGGTGCAGGATAAGCCACAGAGGTGGCAGATGCCAAGGGCAGCAAACCTCAGGAGTCAGATGGGTATGGACTCTGGAGTCATGGATCCCCTGAAAAGCTCTGGGACCTTGCACAAGGGACTCAGTCCTCTGAGCCTCAGTCTCTTGACCCATAAAGTCTTCCCACAAGCCTGGCTCAGTGCAAGAGCTCAGGAAGTGCTGACCACTGCTACTATTTTAATTATTGGACTTCTACTCACTGATGTCTGTACCATCATGGCGCGCTGGTCTCGCATTTTCCGGATGATATCCAATGGACAAACTGGCAGCTTTCTCTCAATTAAACACATGGCTGTTTCCATAGTGACCAACACACCAGTTCGACCTATTCCAGCACTGGAAAGGGGAGAGAAGCGGAGTCTTGTGATCTGCCCAAGCAGCAATTCTGTACCGTCCAGCTGAACCTCTAACCAGGGCCCATGTTTACTGAGAGGGAGCCTTGGTCTTCAAGAATACAAAGCACAGTCAGGTGCGGTGGTGCGTGCCTGTAATCCCAGAACCCCGGGAGGCTAAGGCAGGAGGACTGCAGGTTTGAGCTCAGCCTGGGTAACTTAGGGAGAACCTATCTCAAACTTAAAAAAAAAAGGAGAAGCGTAGCTCAGTGTGGAGGCCCTGGGTTCAATCCCCAGCACCACAAAAACAAAACAAGACAAAACGAAACAGAAAAGAATACAAAGCACACACACTCGGGTTGGTCTCAGCCTGGCAGAAAAAGCCTATTCTCACTGATCCTGAGGCTGGGGGGGCTCAAGGATCAGTGGAGAGAAATCCAGCCACCATTAAACACAAACTCTCCTCCTTTTCTTATTCACATCTGGTGTGCAAGTCAAGAGAGGGGAAAGATGTGGGCAAGACATTCCTCTTCAGCTCTGGGCTACACTCAAATGTTTATTTCAGAAAATTCCAAATCTTTTGAAACTGTTAATTCTTTTTTTTTTGGTACCAGGGATTGAACTCGGGACCTTGCGCTTGCGAGGCAGGCGCTGGAACCACCGAACTAAATTCCCAACCCAAAATTGTTAAGAAAATAAAATAAAACGGAGCTCTGTAGAAGCACGATTGTGTGGGATTTAGGGTGGGTTGGTGTCTACTAATTATCTCCAGGCCATTCCCAAGGGGTCTATGTATTAAAGACAAAGCAAAATGAAACAAGTCATAGTATATACCTGCAGTGAACTAAGACTGGCTCCCCATCCACCCGCAGGGATCTCACATAGTTCACAAATTCTAGGAAGTCCGAGGAGTCATCAGGCACGCCATGGTCAGGCCACGCCACGTACTGCAGATGTGTCACTGTATGTTCTTCCCCAGTCTGTGGAAGATGCAATGATTTGGGTGAGTCAATCTAGGCAGTGGGCCTGGCCCCTACACCATCAGCCAGGTGGCTCTTTCCCCAGTATGCTTTCTCCCCACTGTGCCTAACTGTGCTGTGGCCTGTTATCCCCCTCTTTCCTTCCCACAGCTCAGGCCACCTCTAGAAGGACAGCATTCCTGACCTCTGGTACCCACAGTGATTTCTTCCCTGTGCTCCTATGGTACTTGCCACTTGGGCCACAAATGCTGGCTCTTTCATATTGACTGACCATGGTGAGATACATGCAACATCACGTTTACCATTTAACCATTTTAAGATGTAAATTTCAGGGGCATCATGTGTATTCACAGCGCTGTGCTCATCTCCATTTCCAGAACTTTGTCACCCAAACTCTGCACTCATCACACTGTAACTCCCTGCTCTCCCTCCTCCTTGAGGCCCTGGCAACTGCCATTTTCCGTTCTGGCTGTATGAATTTGATATTTTAGGTACTTCACATAAACAGATCTTGAAGTATTTGTCCTTTTGTGACTGGCCATTTCACTTAGCATAATGTCCCCAAGGTTCCTCCATGTTGTAGCACGTGTCAAAATGTCCCCCCCCTTTGTAGGGCTTAATACTGTTTATTGCATGGACTATGGATGTACCTATTTTGTTATCTATCATCCCTCAACCAATACCCGACCCCATGGTGAATGGTATTGCCATGCTCGGCAGCCTGGCTCTCTGACAGGCAGTCCTGTACATTTACTGGTACCCTCATCAGGCGCAAACAGAGCAAACTTGGAAGGGTGGCCCCACCTGGAACCACAGTGGCTGCTGGTTTTCTACCTGTTCCTCCACTGTCCGCCCTCAGGTCACTGCTTACCTCAGTGTTTGTGACCAGCATTTCTCGGGACACATAGGCGATGGTGCAGTCCTCTGACTGACACCGGATGTGAAAGATGCCGTGGTCCATAACCTCAGGCGGATCGGGCCAGTACTGGTGACATTTGGTCTGTAAGAAACCATGGAGCATGTGAGCCTCCTCCAGAGGGGTGCACTGGAGCAGTTAACCATGGACGGGCAGACCAGTCAGGCATCCGGCCATGTGCACCCCATGAGAGCTGACAGGAGGAGAGACTGTGAGAGCTGACAGGAGGAGAGAATGCAGGTAAGGCCCATGTGCTGTGGACTTATTCCGGGTTGGGGCAAAGAGGAACCTCCTTCCTCTTCAGCCTGCCAGGGGCCAACCAGCCCTGGGCTGCAGTCTGCAGGAGGAGGACAAGAGACTCCCTCCTCTTCCTCTCCAGGATTCTTTTTTTTGGTATTGAGAATCGAACTCAGGACCTTGCGCTTACGGGGCAGGCATTGGCACCACTGAGCTAAATCCCTGGCCCTCCAGGATTCATTTGACAGAAGAGCAGCAGAGGCCTCAGACACAGGAGGCCTGGGCTTGTGAACAACTCCACCCACTCCACTACCCTCTCAGGACAACCCAGTCCCCCCCACGCTGGTCCCAATAGCCCGCCTATCTCACCCTGCTCACTTCCCCTAGCCTCCCAGGCACAGCAGTTGAGTATACATTTCGGTGTCAGGCAGGACTTCACTTGTCAGACAAATGACTTCAATCAAGTCAACCTCTATTTTTCCTAGGAAGATGGAGACCACACCTGCCACTCGTGCCTCACGGACAGCGACAGAGGCTGGAGAGGGTGTGCAGTGCTGAGCTCCCCATGGTGGCCAGGTCAGTGGTGGCCATCAATACTGCTGTTATCATTGGCTCTACATCAACCTGAATAAGGATAGGCAGAGATTCCCCAAAACTCCAATCAGGAAATTCCTAAGCTGAAATGAATACCCCAGCATCTCCCAGGCCCTCAAATGCTTTCATAGAAAATTCTCCTTGGAGTGGAGACTTCCTGTAGAGCAGACGAGGAACACAGGGGAGTGATTTTTCCAAGGCCACAAGCTGCTGTGACACAGTCCAGCGCTCATCCTGCAGCACACCAGTGTCTCCCGGTGTGGCCGTGGCTTTCCCACAGAGTGACTGATGCCACCACCCTCCTGGTGTTCTACCCCCTCCCAAGCCCTGCAGTTTCTTTCATAGACCACTGCAGCTCCTGCCTCTGCCTTCTAAGCCAAATGCAAGGCTAAGCTGCCCATCCCATCACAGTTCTTTCACCAGTCAAATTCTGACTAAAATTTTTTAAAGCAGGGAGGTGTCTTTATGTCACCCAGGCTAGCCTTGAACTCCCAGAGTCAAGCGATCCTCCTGACTCAGCTGAGACTGCAGGCATGTGCTTCCAAGCCTGACTTAAAAATTCCCCAAGCCTAAAGTTAGACAATCTTAAGTAAAAATTATACTTGTTTATAGTGGAAAGGTGGTATAACCAACAGACACATGGAATTTGTCTGGAAACAGCTTTTCTAGCCTTATTTTCAAGTATCACAGTGAATATCTGAAGATAAAGTATGCTGCTGGGAAGTTGGAGTTGAGAATTTTCTTGGAAACAGAGAATGTCAGTATCTTGGTTAGGAGCCACTTCCTGACTTCCCTTCGATGCGAAGGGGCTGCTGTCTGTAGGGCTGGAGGCAGAATCTACAAACACAGGCTTTGTATCCATCTGTCTGTCTCTCCTCACCTGCACAGGAAGCAAAAACTTCCTGCAGGCTCTCACCCGCTGGATCACCCGGGAAGATGTGCCTGAAGTGATCAACTAGCACAAGGCAGAACTACAAACACTCGCACTCTCAGAGTGTCTTTATTCTGCAGTGAATTTGACAGGAACTGGACTCCTTCTTGACCTCTGATCAGATTTAGATTTTAGGTCTTTGGATCTGAAAGCATGGGGGTGGGTAATAGAAGAACAAGATGTTTGTGAAGGTACTGAGTTTCAATCCTGGTTAATGAGGTCTACTAACCAATTGTGTAATGAGCACAAGTGGGTGCATGTGGAAACTGAACTGCTGCTGGTGTGGGGCTGGAGTGGAATTACTAAAGCCCAGTATTTTAGAAATATTATATACTAGGCACTGGAGGGACCCTGTCATGTACACTGTTTTATCTTGGGCCTGAAACAACTCCCTGAGGTACGTGCTTCGTTGTGCATGTGAGAAAACTGAGGCTCGGAGACTACACTGACCTGTGTCAGGTCATAAGTACAGGAATGGGGCCAGAGCCAGAGCTACACTGTGCAGCTGTACACGCAGCCAGGTGGACATGAAATGGAAAAAAACCCCACAGCTCTGCAGGCAGTGAGGATGAAACAGGTACCGTGCATAAGGCCTGGCTGTGCAGGGAGGAGAGGACAATGGTCAGTGGTCAGTGCAGCTGGTGAGCAATGGGCCCAACACGCAACCATAGCAGATGCTGCCAGAAGAGCTCAGAATGTTGTGTCTCTGGGGATTCACAGGCTGAGGGGGGAGATTTTTGCTCTCCTTCTAGTTGCAGGCTCTCCAGTGGCTTTGCAAAGAGAGTTCAAGAAGGGAAAGCTGACCATCAAAGTCGCTTTGGAAAGAGTATGCTTATGTGAACAGAGGGAATATGCTGAAGGCTGGGTTCTCGGTGGGGGAAGAGCATTACCTCAGGAATATGGACTGGATGTGGTTTTGATGGGATGGTCACTGACCCAACTAAGAAGGCTTCATGGTGAAAAATTGGCTTTCTTCTCACTCAGTCAACAAATAAGCTTGGGTGTGCAGCAGTGAGCTAGACTTGGTATGGTATCTCCTCAAGGCACTCAAATTTGGGAGTGGGTAAGTGTGACTTTAAAGAAGAGAAAAGGCACAGATAGAGGTGGATCGTGGAGGAGGTAGAGAAGACATCCTGGACAGAGGGGCTGGGAGGTTTAGGTTGAAGGCCTAGGGTGCTTCTCAGGTGGGTGAGGCAAGGAGCCTGCCCAGGGTTTATGGGCAAAATGCGAGAGCAGGCTGACCTCTGGCAAGGTCTCTCTCAAAGCTGTATCCATGGATGGACCACACTGGGGAAGATTCTGGGCCATCCGGTCACTGGGGAGGCTGTAGCTATCCCTGGGAGAAGTACAAAGCCTCTGGGAGCAGGTAGGGACTATGGGGATCAAGGAGAGGATGGTGTGGGAGTTGCAGAAGATGCTCAGTGTTGGTAGAGCACAGTAAGTGGATATGGGGAGAAAAGAGAAGGGAGAAGCCAAGGCCCATTCCTAATTCTTGGCTTGGGTGATTGAACAGACATGTACGACCTGCCAGGATGGTGGGTCTGGGCGTCTGATAGGGATCTGTGTATGCTTGTGTATGTGCAAGTGCATGTGTGTGTGTACAGGTGGGGCTGGTGACTTTGGGCACATTGTTATGTGAGGACACTTGGGTAGATGTGTCCTATCAAGAAGTAAAGAGAGGACTGGGGTCAGGAGGTGAAGGACTCAGTGTCCTGCTCCATTTGCTGGACCACCCAGAAATAAGCTCCCGGCAGAGGAGCCTTATGACCCTGAGCACACTTTACCAAAGACACCATAATTAACAGACGGCAAGAGTTGACAGAGCGAGGGGGTGAAGGGCGCACAGGTAATGGGGAAAAAATAAGAACCAAGATACATCATGTACAGGTACAAGCACCCAATGATACTGTATACCTAAAATGTACCAATAAAACAATTTAAGAAAAAAAAAAAAGAGTTGGCAGAGCTCTGTGCTGCTCCCAATCTCTTCTCACCATTTTCCATATTCTCATGACCATCTGGGGCCCCTTACTGTTACTCTGAGTGGTGAACCCATTTGTCTCTGACCCACTGAGATGAGGACAATGGGATGGGGGAGATCACCACCCTACACAACACCTGGGCAGGCCCAGGGTAGTGCACTGTTATCTTCAAAAGGGTCCAAGATATGAGCATTACTTTCTCTTTTCTAGTGATACTGAAATTGAGGCTTAAGAGTCTGGTCCAAGGTTATATAGTTAAAAGTGATGTTTCCAGAATTCAAATGCCTCCTCTGACACAGAGCCTGAGCCTCAAATGACTGGCAGACTGGGAAGGAAAATTATCTATACTATTCATAGATTTTACATAAATGTAAAAAGTAATTCCCCTCCAAAAGAAACATCGGATGGAAGGTGAGGAAGAATAACTTCCCAACTGAGGAATGACATCTCTAGGAAGAGAGCCCTGGCTTCAAGGGAAAGCAGAGTAAAAGCCATTTTGGATGGAACTGAAGAAAGGGAGAAGTCAGGCAGCCCTGCAGTGAGCGTCTGACTACCCGATGATGCAATGCTTTGGGGGTGCTTTCCTCAGCAAAACAGAGGGTACACCTCTGTGTAACACACATCCGTCAGGAGACCCCTCTACCAAAGGGACAACATAGGAGAAAACAAACAGGATGAGCTGGAAATTTCATCTCTCAGAAAAGGAGAGGGGGTGCCTGGAGCAACATGCTCCGGAAGAAGTAGGGAATATGATGAGGAGGAGACAGGGACCGAGGGGTCTGGTCGGCCGGCAGTTTGTAATAGGAACGGGAAACACGGAAACACGCATCTGGAGTTTAGAAGATCAGTCTCTAACAGCCGATAACCAAGAGAGCAAGCCCCCAGGGCCAGAGCTGCTAAAGGGAAAGGGGATGGGAAGCCTCATGGGAGATGGGAGATTCGAGATAGGAGATGGGAGATGGGAGTCTCTCCTACAGGATACTGATGAAGCCACACATGGGTTCAATGAGGGAGAAAGGACAAGGAACAAAAAAGTGCCAGGTCATATGGGGACCTCCAATGAGCTCAGGGCGGACACCAACAAAAGAAAGCAATGACAAAGCGTGGCGGGGGAGGGGCAGGACCTGGAAGAGCAGGTGGAGCAGATTGGGTCTTTTCTCCTGAGCAGGAACAAGTGGGGCAAAGGGAGGAAGGGGCGGTTGTCCAGGGTGGATCATCTGTCACCAAACTGTTCCTGCGGGGAGCCCCCTTTTCTCTCAGAAGAATGACTGTCCAGCTGGAAATGGGAAAGAGAAGCTCAACACAGATAAGCAGCCAGTGACAGCATGGAGCTGCCTGAA